AAAAAAAATTGAAGAAATGGAGAACAGATTAGTAGTTGCCAGGGGTTAAGTGGGGAGCAGAAGGTCTGGCACAGTGGCTCCCACCTGTAATCCCAGCACCTGGGGAGGCCAAGGTGTGAGGACTGCTTGAGCCCAGGAGTTTCAGATTAGCCTGGGCAATATAGGGAGACCCAACCCTAAAAATAATTTTTAGCCACGTCTACTGCGAGAATGAAAACCATTCTCAGCAATCAGACTGTCAACATTCCAAAAAATGTTGACATTACTCTGAAGGGACACAGTTATTGTGAAGGGCCCCAGAGGAACCCTGTGGAGGGACTTCAGTCACATCAGTATAGAACTCGGTCTTCTTGAAAAGAAAAAAAAGAGGCTCCGGGTTGACAAACGGTGGGGTAACAGAAAGGAACTGGCTGCTGTTCAGACTATTTGTAGTCATGTACAGAACATGATCAAGGGTGTTACACTGGGCCTCAGTTACAAGATGAGGTCCGTGTACGCTCACTTCCCCATCAACGTTGTTATCTAGGAGAATGGGTCTCTTGTTGAAATCCAAAATTTATTGGGTGAAAAATATATCCACAAGGTTCAGATGAGACTACGTGTTGCTCGTTCAGTATCTCAAGCCCAGAAAGATGAATTCATCCTTGAAGGAAATGACATTGAGCTTGTTTCAAATTCAGCAGCTTTGATTCAGCAAGCCACAACAGTTAAAAACAAGGATATCAGGAAATCTTTGAATGGTATCTATGTCTCTGAAAAGGGAACTGTTCAGCAGGCTGATGAATAAGATCTCAGAGTTGTCCAGCTACAGAAACAGGATGCTGGATGATTCCTACCTATTTGTGATATTTAAATAATACAACAAAAGACCAACAGATTTGGAAATAATAATAATAATAATTTTTAAAAATTAGCCAGGCATGGCGGCATGAGCCTGTGATCCCAACTATACAGGAGGCTGAGGCAGGAGGATCGCCTGAACCCAGGAGGTCAAGGCTGCAGTTAGCCATGATGGTACCTAGTGATCGCCAGCCTGGGTGACAGAATGATATCCTGTCAAAAAAAGAAATAAAGAAAGAAAGAGAGAAAGAGAGAGAGAGAAGGAGGCAGGGAGGGAGGGAGGGAAGGAAGGAAGGAAGGAAGGAAGGAAAGAAGGAAGGACAAAGAGGGGGGGAAAACCCCTCTTTCAGTGGCTGAATCCGGAATGTCACATTTTTCCATTGAGATTTGGTGGTGTGAGGAGCTGGTCTGCAGATAAAGAAAAATGTATCAGATCTGAAGAAAAAAGAAGCAGAGATGAGAAGTAGATTACAACTTGCTCTGTGAGAGGAGGTCTGGATTGAGTGCATTCTATTTTCTTTTCATCAATTCCCCCTCTTTTTGTTCTAGCTATATATATATGTGTGTGTGTGTACATATATACACATATGTATATATGTGTGTGCATATATACACATATGTATATGTGTGCATATATACACATATATAATTATACACATTTATGTATGTATAGATACACACACACACACACACACACACACACACACACACGGCTCACTGCAGCCTCGAACTCCTGGGCTCAGCTTCCCCCAGAAGCTGGGACTACAGGCTGGGACTATGTATATATATTTTTGAGACAGGGTCTCACTCTGTCACCCAGGCTGGAGTGCAGTGGTGCAATCATAGCTCACCGCAGTCTTGACCTCCTGTGCTGAAGTGATCCTCCCACCTCAGCCTCCCAAGCTGAAACTACATATGCACACCATCGTGCCCGGCTAATTCTTTTGTGTTTGTAGAGATGGGATTTCTCCATGTTGCCCAGGCTGTTCTTGAACTGGGCTCAAGCCATCTGCCCGCCTCAGCCTCCCACAGTGCTGGAATTACAGGTGTGAGCCACCACGCCTGGCTAAGCTATCTTGTTTTTCGTACAATCCATGGGGTACATGTGACATTTTATTACATGTATATAATACATAACAAACAAGTCAGGGTTTTTAGGGTATCCATTCCCCCAATACAATACATTTTTATTAACAGTAGTCACCCTACTCTGCTATCAAACATTGAATTTATGCCTTCTGTCTAATCGTATGTTTGTACCCTTTAACCCACTTCTCTTCATCCTCCCCTCTGCCCCCAACTTGTTTAAGCTATCTTGAGTTGGTTTCTGGTGTTTCAACAAGATTCATAACGAATGCAACTGCTAATATTCCTCAGTAGTTTGTCAAATACCATTTGGCATCTTCTGTTGTTCAGTCATCGACTCTACATCTACTCTCGGGTCTCCCTGAACTTCTCCACTCCGTCCATCCTCCTCCTCCTCCTCCACATTCAGGGACCCTTTCATAATTCACGTCAGGCTTTCACACACACTATCTGTGATTGTTCCAGTAAGCCTGTGAGCTAGTTCTTGTTCTTATTTCAGTTCAGCAGTCCTTTATCAAGTACCTAAGTGCCAGGAACCAAGCTGTAGGGTCCATTCTCCTGTTCTCCCATAGCACGAGTACACAGTCCCTCTCTAAAATCTCTGGGGCTCAGCCAGGCACGGTGGCTCATGCCTGTAATCCCAGCACTTTGGGAGGCCAAGGTGGGTGGATCACCTGAGGTCAGGAGTTTGAGACTGAGACCAGCCTGACCAACATGGTGAAACCCCGTCTCTACTAAAAATACAAAAATTAGCCAGGTATGTTGATGGGCACCTGTAATTCCAGCTACCCAGGAGGCTGAGGCAGGAGAATCGCTTGAACCCAGGAGGTGGAGGTTGCAGTGAGCCGAGATCGCGCCATTGCACTCCAGCCTGGGCGACAGAGACTCCATCTCAAAAAATAAAATAAAATAAAATAAAATAAAATAAAATAAAATAAACAAAATATCTGGGGTTGATGTACAGACTCACTTGAACATGCAGGCCTGGAGGCCCACACATCCATGCCTAATATATTTACAATATGTAAATCAAGTTAATAAGCTACTAAATAAGAACTGTCTTCTGAGCTGCGTGTGGTGGCTCATGCCTATTATCTGAGCACTTTGAGAGGCTGAGATGGGATGATCACTTGAGCCCAGGAGTTCAAGAACAGCCTGGGCACCATAGTGAGACCCTATCTCTATTTGAAAAATAAATAAATAAGAACTGTGCTCTGTCCTACGTTGATAGGTATGGCCAGGGTCAAATTTACAATTTTGGATAACTACTCTGTCCCCTTTCTCTTTGCACACTCGATTCTATCCTTACCTTGAGTGGTTTCATGGGCACGTGTGTGGACATTTTAGTTTGCACAACCAGCCTCTATCCATACCTGCTGCAAACAGCTGTCTTTGGTTATGTCTTGGGCTTAAGAGTGCATATGACAGCGGTAACCCCCACCCTGCACCCATCCAGAAGGTTGACCTATTAAAGAGATCTGCACAGGCTGCGGACCACTTGGGCAGCAAACTCCAGTGTCTCAGGTACCTGGGACATGGTCTAGAGTTGAGGGGTGCTCAGGTGGTTAGAGGCCCTTCATTTTGCCTCACAGGCCTACCTAATTAGCAAGGGCTATCTAGAAGAAGGGCAAAGTAAGGCCCTCCAAAGTGTGGGGTCCTCTTGCGTGGGTCTAAGAGGAGCCCTGAAATTTAGAAGTGTTTGGTTTTCAGAGAGATAATATGCTCCACACACTGCATATTATTCAATCCCCCAGTGGGGTCTGGGGAGAGCTTAAGCAAATATGTTGGCACTTCTGCAATAAAATACATTGATATTCATTCTAAGAGAATGAAATAAAGACTATAAAGACTATAAATAGTCTTTATAGATGTCTCTATAAATTCCTCGTGTCATTTCAAGTCAGATTTTGCCACCACTTGAGTCTGTGCCAAACTTAAGAAAAAACTTTTGGCTGGCCTCATGCCTGTAATTCTAACACTTTGGGAGGCCAAGGCAGGATGATCACTTGAGCCTGGGTGTTCAAGCCCAGCCTGGGCAACATAACAAGACCCCGGTCTCTACAAAAGTAAGAAAATTAGCTGGGCACAATAGCACACACCTGTAGCCCTAGTTGCTTGGGAGTCTGAGGTGGGAAAATCCCTTGAGCTTGGTAGGTTGAGGCTGCAGTGAGCCGTGATCATGCCACTGCACTCCAGCCTGGATGACAGAGAAAGACCTTGTCTCAACAACAACAACAACAACGACAACACACACACACACACACACACACACACACACACACACCCTTTCAATTTTCACAGCTTTTGAGATTTCAGAACTTGGAGATAAGGAATTATGGAACTATAACAGAGTTGTAATACACTCATTGCTGTTCAATTGATGACACATTTCTAGCCTTCCTTTCAACTAAGTGTAGCCATGTGGCTAAGCTCTCAGCAAGAGAATATGAGCAGAAGTTATGAGGGCCGCTTTGGGTCTGAACTTTTAGGCACCAGGCATGTATTTTCCCACAGTCTTTTCCTTCTTCCTCCAACCTGGAAGACAGATGTGCCTGTTATCCAGCTTCTGTCAAGCAGATGAGGACAGAGTCCTTATATTTGCAGCACAACAATCTGGAAGGAACTAGAGTCCTCAGATGGCCAGGTGGGGCAAGATCCTTACCGAACTACACTGCTCGACTCAGGACTGCTATGAGGGAGGGAAATGAGCTTCTATTCCTCCTTAAGTCACTGTATTTTTTTCGTAAAGATGAGGTCTGGCTCTATTTCACAGACTGATCTTGAACTCCTGGGCTCAAGTGACCCTCTGCCTTGGCCTCTCAAAGTGCTGGGATTACAGGCATGAGCCACCATGCCTGGCAAGCTACTGTATTTTTGAGCCTCCAACCCACTTAGTCTTGAACTAATTAATATAAGAGACAAGTGCTGGGCATATTAAAGATGGAAAAGATACAGTCCTTACCCCCAAGGGATGATAAGGATATTTTAAGTAAGGAAAACCAACCCATATGTGGAGACTTCCAATTAAATGTGCTACGTGCTGATGTGGCCGCCATGGAAGAACACAGGCCTACCTCAGGGCTTCAGGGAAAACTTCCTCGAAGAGATGGCGGCTCAGCTGGCCTGTGAAGGTTCAAGAGAGGTTGGTCAGATGAGAAAATGGAAAAGGGTATGTTATGGGTTAAATTGTGTCACCCTCCAGCAAAAGACATGTTGAAGTCCTAAATCCCAGTACCTCGGAATGTGACCTTATTTAGAAATAAGGTCATTGAAAATGTGGTGGCTTATGCCTGTAATCCCAGCACTTTTGGAGACCGAGACAGGAAGATCGCTTGAGTCCAGGAGTTTGAGACCAGCTTCAGCAACATGGTGAGACCCCATCTCCACAAAAAATAAACAAAATTAGCAAGGCGTGGTGACACACATCTGTGGTCTCAACTACTTGGAAAGCTGAGGTGGGAAGATTGCTTGAGCCCGGGATGTTGAGGCTGCAGGGAACCTTAGCATACCGGAGTAGGGTGGGCTAGAATCCAATACAACTGGTGTCCTTTTTTGTTTTTTCTTTTTCTTTTGAGACAGAGTCTTGCTCTGCCGCCCAGGCTGGAGTGCAGTGGTGTAATCATAGCTCACTGCAGCCTCCATCTCCAGGGCTCAAGAGATCCTTCTGTCTGTCTCCCGAGTAGTTGGGACTAGAGGTACATTACTAACGCCCAGCAAATTTTTGTATTTTTTGTGGAGAACGGGGACTTACTATGCTTCCCAGGCTGGTCTTGAACTCTTGGCCTCAATCCTCTTGCCTCAGCCTCCCAAAGTGCTGGGATTACAGATGTGACCCATCATGCCTGGCTGGGTGTCCTTTTAAGAAGAAGAAAATTAGGCCGGGCGCGGTGGCTCACGCCTGTAATCCCTGCACTTTGGGAGGCCGAGGCGGGCGGATCACGCGGTCAGGAGATCGAGACCATCCTGGCTAACACGGTGAAACCCCGTCTCTACTAAAATACAAAAAATTAGCCCGGCGCGGTGGCGGGCGCCTGTAGTCCCAGCTACTCGGGAGGCTGAGGCAGGAGAATGGCGCGAACCCGGGAGGCGGAGCTTTCCCTTGAGCTTGGTAGGTTGAGCTTGCAGTGAGCCGAGATGGTGCCACTGCACTCCAGCCTGGGCGATAGAGTGAAGACTCCGCCTCAAAAAAAAAAAAAAAAAAAAAAAAAAAAAAAAGAAGAAGAAAATTTAGACACAGAGACAGACACTCAGGGATAATGCCATGTGAAGATATAGAGACGCACAGACTCAGAGACGATGGCCACATGAAGATGACCACATGAGTTTGGTGTTGTGCTATACAAGTCAAGGAATGCCTGGGCCTACCAGGAACTGAAAGAAGCAAGGAAAGATCCTTCCCTGGAAGTTCTGGAAGGGGCATGATTTCAGACTTCTAGCTTCCAGAACTGTGAGTGGATAAATTTCAGCTGTTTTTAAGTCCTGCACTTTGTTACTTCAACCCTAGGAAATTAATACAGGGCGTATCAGGCATAAGCAGAGGCAGAGAGGTGAGAAACAACATGGTGTACTAAAAGAGACTATAGGCAACTCTGTATTTACAGCTATAATGTGCAAGGCAAGGCATGTCCTGCAATGAAGCTGGAGAGTGGAAAAAACCCACTCACTGCATGTATGATACGTAATTTTTAAAAACAGGAATGAAAAATGCAAAGAAGAATGATCACCAAAATAACATAGTTCTTTCATGGTGGTAAAATTTTAGGCAAAGTTTACATTCTTTTTATTTTTTTCCTTATTAATTTTTAAAATGATTATGTCTTTTGTTGTTGTTTTCTTTGAGACACGTCTCGCTCTGTCACCCAGGCTGGAGTGCTGTGGCAGGGTCTTGGCTCACTGCAGCCTTGACCTCCCGTGATTCAAGCTATTCTCCCACCTCAGTCTCCCCGGTAGCTTGGACAACAGGTGTGTGGCACCATGCCCGGCTAATTTTTAAATTTCTTATAGAGATGAGATCTCACTATGTTGCCCATACTGGCCTCAAGCAATCTTCCTGCCTCAGCCTCCCAAAGTGATGGCATTACAAGATTGAGCCACCATACCCGACTGAACATGTATTTTTAATGTAATCAGAAAATAATCTATTTCATTTAGGAAAACAAAGGCAGATGCTGCCAGCAGTGACGACAGTAGATTAGGGGAGCAGGACTAGAAGCAGAGAGACCAGCTAAGAAACTATTGCAGGCCAGGAGCAGTGGCTCACACCTGTAATTCCAGAACTTTGGGAGACCGAGGTGGGCAGATTGCTTGAGGTCAGGAGTTCAAGACCAGCCTGGCTAACATGGCGAAAGCCTGTCTCCAGTAAAAATACAAAACTTAGCTGAACACTCCAGCCTGGGCAACAGAGCAAGACTCTGTCAAAAGAAAAGAAAGAAGAAAGAAAGGAAGGAAGGAAGGAAGGAAGGAAGGGAGGAAGGAAGGGAAAGAAAGAAACTATTGCAATTGCAATGTTCCAGATCTGTGAGGAGGGTCTGAGCTCAGAAAACCGAAGTAGCAACAGACAAGAGAAATATTTAGAAGGTAGAATTAGAGAGATATGGTGAATAGCTAGAAGTATTTGGGTTGGCAATAGAGAGGGAGGATTCCAGAATGATTCTCAGATCTCTAGGTGGGGTGACTTGGTAGATGACAGCCCCTTCATGGGGACTAGGAGAAGAGGAGATTCAGGTTTTCAGGGGAAAATGATGAGTTCAGAGGAAGATGGTGAAATACCCGTGGGGGTATCCAAGTAGCAATGTCCTCAGCTGGTAACTTTACATGGTGGTCTGTCCAGCACTCCACTCTAGGCTTCCTCTGGTAAATTCTCCTGCCCCATTCATCTCCATGATTCTCATGGTGGTTTGTTGTGTTTGTAGGACTCCACTTCCCTAGCTACAGCTAATTGGTCAAGGATGGATGCTTGACCCAAAGTTGGGTTTTGTTTGTTTGTTTGTTTGTTTTTTGAGACAGTCTCACTCTGTCATTCAGGCTGGAGTGCAGTGATGTGATCTCAGCTCACTGCAACCTCCGCCTTCTGGGTTCAAGCGATTCTCCTGCCTCAGCCTCCCAAGTAGCTGGGACTACAGGTGCTTGCCACCATGCCCAGCTAATTTTGTATTTTTTATAGGGATGAGGTTTTGTCATATTGCCCAGGCTGGTCTCAAACTCCTGGCCTCAAGTGATCCGGCTGCCTCGGCCTCCCAAAGTGCCAGGATCTCAGGCGTAAGCCACCGCACCCGGCCCTTGTTTTCAAATTTAAAGAGTAGTAGAGAAGACAGGACTGGCGACATAAACCTGGGAATCACCCCACATGGGCAGCAGTTGGATTCACAAAAGGATGAGATTTTCTAATGAGAGCGTATAAGAGGAGAAAAATAAAAGTCAGCATAGAATCTACCAAGGGTGCAGGAGAGAGCAGCAGAAGAACTCACAACCAAAATGAAAAGAATGTTCAGAGAAACTGGAGGAAACCAGGAGAGAGGAGAGAATACAGCCCCACTTAAAGTGGAGGAAACTGGAGCCTGGAGGTGAAGCTAAGAAGCTCACTGATCCAAGACTCAGATTCAGGTCTTTGCTCTTTGCATGGCACCACTGCCTATGGCTTTGATGGTACTGAGCCTCTTTTTTCTTTAAATGGACTTCTAGGGAGACAGTCTGTATAGACAACTTGTTTTCATTTCCCAGTTTCCCTCTCCAAACCTACGCCTGCTCTGAACTGAAGCCTACCTCTACTCTGCCCTCTCGATGTTGCTGTCCTGTGGGTTCATGCATCTGCCTAGGATTTGATATTTTAGGCCTGTGCGCCTGATTAACACAGGGAAGAAGAGCAACAAGGTCCTCAAAAATGCTTTGGACAAGGACAAATTGATTATTGAAGCGGAGTGAGGGTGGACATGGGACTGAAGGTTGCTGAAGCCCCTAGAGCCACATCGGAGAGCATTCAGGGCCACATGCCTATGACATTTTCTCAGAGCCATCGGTTTTATCACATTTATCATTACCCCACATCTTATTCTTAATGTCATAAGTCATGAAGATGAGTCATTAAGCTGGGTTACTCAGTTTGTCTTGTGAACATACTGATAAAAAGACTGTTATTGAATCCCCATGATTTAGAGGATTGTAGGAGTTTCAGGGGATCCAATAAAACCCATGAATTAAGCTCAACAATGGTCATGAGAACTAGTAATTAGCATCACTTGCCTGGTACTTGCATGGTTGGTATGAAAAAGGACTCTGTGTTAGAAACTATCTTATAATGAAGGTAGGAGGTGTACACATGTATACATTTCTTCATATTTCTTGTGCATCTACTATATATCAGGAATTATGTGAGCAACAGACTCAAGACAAGTGAGACCTCTGCCCTTCTGGAGCTTGTATTCTAGTGGGCTATTTCCATTTCATACCCCACTAACTGAGGATGTTTCTAACCATTGAAAAATGCCTTTCCCTGCTTCCCCCGTTAGTAGAAGTGAAAGTTCACCCACCAGGATCCAGGCCAAATTGCCAGAAGAGAATAATATACATTCTACATTTAAATTCTCACTACAGCCCTGCAAGGCAGGTTAACATGATAGAAATAGATAGACCTGGGTTCAGAGGCTGGTTCTGCTACTTCCTGCTGCTTGTTCATCTCTCCGGGCCATAGTCTCCTTCTATTAAACCCTCGAGATGATAACACACACAGTGTATGGCATATAAATCCTTGGCATGTGGCATCATAGCCATTCCTATTGAGATCAGCTCATTTTTGAAAATGAGAAACTTGACACAGAGAGGTAAAGCGACTTACCCAACATCATACAGCTGGTAATTGGCAGAGCGGGAACTTGAACCCAAATCTTCTGACTCCATGCCATGTCCTCTTTCCAGTCTCGCATCACTGTCTGGTATAAGGCCAGGAAGTAATTATCCATGTGTTCAGGGATCTATGCTTCTGGAAGGGTGCAGGCCTAGTGACTTAGGAAGGACAGTATGGAGGTAGTGGTCGGGGGGTGGGGAGAATATGAGGAGTCTCGATAGGCTAGAACAAATTAATGGCCGGGGGACAAGTCCAGGCAGATTGGCACAGGCAAGACACAGCTAGAAGAACCCGATTCAGCCCCGGCCGCTGCCTGCTCACCTGCGGCCAAACACTGACCCCTGCCGACCGCCCAAGGGAAGGCGGCGCAAGGCCCAGCTCCGGGAGTGCTGGGGGGCCCTCGCGGCTGGAGCGGGCGGGGGAACGCTCATCGCGCAGGCAGGAGCCTAGGGGGCTGGGGGTCACAGCGCGTCCCCCTCCTGGAACCTCGAGACCTGAGTGACTGCCTTGGCCACCCAGGGTGACGTTGCATCACCTCCTTCGCTCACCTGGCTTTTGACAAGAGAAAGGGGACAGAGCTGAGGGTTTTCCCTGCCCTGGGCCCCGACCCCAGCATCTCCTGGGTTTCTCCTTGCCGCGCAGCCCCCCACCGTGTTTGAGACTTGAGGCTGGAGGCCTGCCCTTTCTGTCCTGTCTAGGGTGCTGGCCACCTGGAGCAGGTGGGGGGGTGTTTCTAGGGCTGGATTTGAGTCTCGTATCGGGCAGATGGACCAACTCTAGACCAAAGGCCACTTGCTGGGGCTGAGGGGACGCTGTGGTAGTGCCACCAAATACGGCTGCTTCTTGCCCCTCCTGGCTGCTCCCATCCAGATGGGTCCCGAGATGTTGTCCCTGCAGAAGGAGCTCACTAAGGACTCTTTACCTCTTCCCTCCTTGTTCAGAACTGAGAGAGAGAGAGAGAGAGAGAGAGAGAGAGAGATGGGGGAGTTCTCTAGCATCCTATGCAGGGCTCAGCATTTTATTCTTTAAGATAAAAACGAGGCAGACAGGCTTGTTAGCAATTCAAATATATTGATTTGGGAGGATTTTTTTTTTTAATTTCAATAATATTTAGAAAGTAACAACATGCTTTCAAGAGTAAGGATTGATGTCAGGTCCTTTATCTTATTCTCTCCAAATCAAGAATCTCCATTTGCAATGGAAGGGATCTGACTCTTAAGTTTCCTGTGAAAAGGGAGGGAGGGAGGGAAGGAGGGAGAGGAGGAGGAGGGTGGAGAGGGTGAGTTGACTGAGCTGACCACTCCTCAGGGTGAGAAGCCTGTAGCCAGTTGCCTGTAGAGTGAAGGCAGTTGAGCCTGACAGGAGTAGGCAACTCTCATTTACAATGCATAAAGAACTTTCTAGTGCATCCTTGGGTCATCTGAACTTCAGTTTGACCCTTTGAGGTGGACCTGGATGCTAGTGCTATTCTCATTTTCAGATTAGAAAGAGGGAACTTGAGGTCAGGCTTAGTGGCTCACGCCTGTAATCCTAACACTTTGGGAGGCCGAGGTGGGTGGATCACCTGAGGCCAGGAGTTCAAGATCAGCCTGGTCAACATTGCGAAATCCCGTCTTTAGAAAAAATAAAAAAATTAGCCAGGTATCTGACACACACTTGTGATCCCAGCTACATGGGAGGCTGAGGCATGAGAATTGCTTGAACCCAGGAGGTGGAGGTTGCAGTAAACTGAGATAATACCATTGCACTCCAGTTTGGGTGGCAGAGGAAGACCCTGAAGAAGGAAGGAAGGAAGGAAAGAGGGAAAGAAGGAAGGAAGGAAGGAAGGAAGGAAGGAAGGAAGGAAGGAAGGAAGGAAGGCAAAAACCCATCTCTACTAAAAATACAAAAAATTAGCTGTCCGCGGAAATCGAGACCTGGAGGTACTGCCTTGGCCACCGTCCAGGTGACGTTGCATCACCTCCTTCGCTCACCTGGTTTTGACAAGGAGAAAAGGGACAGAGCTGAGGGTTTTCCCTGCCCTGGCCCTCGACCCCAGCATCTCTGGTTTGCTCCTTTGCCCGCGCCCAAGCCCCCACTCGTGTTTGGAGACGTGAGGCTGGAGGCCTGCCCGTCTTTCTGTCCTGTCCTAGGGTCTGGCCACCCTTGAGCAGTGGGGGGTGTTTCTAGGGTCAAGGAATTTCTCGAGTCTCGGTATCGGCAGATGGACCATACTCTAGACCAAAGGGCCCACTTGCCTGGGGGCTGAGGGAACAACTCTGGAATTATGTGCCACCAATACGGCTGCTGTCTTTGCCCTCCTGTCTGCTCCCATCCAGATGGGTCCGAATGTTCCTGCAGAGAGGCTCACTAAGGACGCTTACTCGTTCCCTCCTGTGTCAGAACTGAGAGAGAGAGAGATGAGAGGAGAGTAGAGAGATGGGGAAAGATTCTCTAGCCATGTGCCTACCGCAACTGGCTCAGCATTTTTTCGTTTAGGAGATACAAAAGGCGAGCGCAACAGGCTTGTTAGCAAGTTCAAATATAGGTTATTTGGGAGGATTTTTTTTTTTAATTTGCAATAATATTTAGAAATGAGTAACAACATGCTTTCAAGAGTAAGATTGATGGTCAGGTCCTTTATCATTCTCCTCCAATCAACAATCGTCCATTTGCAATGGAAGTGGATCTGATCTTAAGTTCCTACTGAAAAGGGACGCGAGCGGAGGTAAGGGAGGGAGAGGGAGGAGGGAGTAGGTGACGCAGGTGAGTTTGACTGAGAGCGTACCCACCGTCCGTCTACGGGGTGATGAAGCCTGTAGCCAGTTGCCTGTAGAGTGAAGGCAGTTGACCTGACAGGTATAGGCAGACTCGTCATGTTTACAATGCATGAAAGAACTTTCTAGTGGCATCCTTGTGAAGGGTTCATGGTCTGAACTTCAGTTTGGACCCTTTGCACGGTGGACCTTGGATGCTAGTGCTATTCTCGGATGTTTTCAATTAGAAGAGGGAACTTGAGGTCACGCCTTAGTACTCACGCCTGAATGCCTTAACACTGTGAGGGGAGGCCGAGGTGGGTGGCACCGACCTGGAGGCCAGGAGTGGTCAAGTAGTCAGCTTTGGTCAACACTTAGCGATATTAGAGAACGGCGCCGTCTTTTAGAAAAAATAAAAAATTAGCCAGGGTAATGCAAAACAGATACACAGCACTTGTGATCCCAGCTACATGAGGAGGTCTTAGGCATGAGAATTGCTTGGAACCCAGGTAGGAATGAGTGTTCAGTAAACTGAGATATATAACGCATTGCGACTCCAGTTTTTGGTGGCACGAGGAAACCCT